GAAAAGTCATTGAAATATGGTAGAAAAGTCATCAAGGATTGTAATACAAAAAAAAATTGTCAGGAAGTTTGATATGTTTGACCAGTTTATGTATTATCCATATCACAATGAAATACAGTAATTGTAATTCATTGGAATTCTATCTTTAGTCTAAGATGGATCGTGCCATTAATGATAAATATAGTCTGCCTTCCTTAGATACGGATTTCCTTGTTGGTATATGGTAACATATCGCCGTCCAAACTATTAGTATTCAAAAAGGCCGATAACTCAAGTAAAATAAAATCGAATAAACATGATAGATGAATAAAAAAAATACTTCTTTTTGTTCACACTTCAAGCTCCCATTTGAGCTGAAGATTTGTCTTAAAGCGATCGAATTCCAGTTCTGCCGTTAATTCAGACTTATTTTATACCATTACATGATATAATGACTACACGCCCAGATGTTATACATTTACCTACCATTAAATGTTCCTGGAATAAGTGAATGCATGAAAATAGAAGAAGCCATGTGCTAATGCAAGTCGATGTGACTTAAAAACGTTATATAAAAATAATTTGCTTGTACTGAGCTGAACTGTTAAAATCTACTTGGGCTTGTATCTCCCTTGAAAATAATGTTTTCATATATCTTATTTTAATTAGCGTTTAAAATTAAATACTTTATTTTGAGTACTTCCATATAACGTGTTTTTACAAAAAAAATGTTTTAATGTTTATAATACTTCCGCATTGGCTAAAGATAACATCACATAAGCAATTCATAATCAGTTTTTCATTTTGTACTTTCAAGTTTATACGTTATACTTACATTACGAGATTAAGGGAACCCAAAATATAAAACATGTTTAGCTATGACAAATTGTAAATTTTTACAGTATTTTGAAAGAACGTTATGATTTATTATATATATTTTGGATTTAGAAACATAATAAGGTAAATAAAGGTGATATTTAATACATAAGTTGTTACAATATTTAACTTGCTAATACTTGCTATTATATCTTAATTTTCTAAATTAAAGAGCACAATCTAATCTGTTTGGTCTCAAAAAATGTTTAATTACTTAGGCTGGGTACGAGCAACTGTGTTGATTTTGGTTAATATTATGTTTAGGAAATAGATATCAATTCTGAGTGCATTGTTGTAGAATAATGCACGGTTTGAGTTCAAATGCGTAGTAATATAATCACGAAGGCCGATAGGCCTGAGTGATTAATTACAAAGCATTTGAACGAAGAACGTGCATTATTATACAATAATGCACGAAGAATTAATATCTATTTCCATTCTAACACGTCAAGAAAAATATAATTATTATTATAAAGTTGGTCTTTATGTTTGGCGGTTAAATTTGTTTTTGCCTCAGAGTTTCCAATAGAAACGTTCTTTAAAGGCCGTTCCAATGGGTTGAAAAAACTGTCGTTAAATCTACCGTTTGTAGAAACATTTTGAGAATAACGAATTTTGAAAACGTTGATAAAACTTTGTTTGTCTATTTTATTTCAGTTTATAATTTTCCAAGCGAAATACAAATTTTTAAAAGTGAAATAAATGTAAAACTTAACTCGTCTGCGACGTTAAAATAGCGTACTTGATTTTGATTGTTTTGCACGCGCTGTTTGGCGCTACATTGTGACGTCACGTAAACAACACTTTAAACGTCTGTACAGCGTTAACGACTGAATTAAAGATATTGGTGTTCGGATTTATTTTCTTAGTTAGACCATTTTCTTTCATTCTAGATAGTTTTCACAACAAAATTTGACAAAAGATTGTTTTTTTTTTTTATCAGATTTTTCAAACAAAATGGCGCCCTCAATGTGAAAATACACAGGGAGATAATAAGAACGGCGAGTGCATTGTTGCAGGATAATGCACGCTTCGGGCCGTCTTTGTTTATATAGAAAAAATTCCGATAGTGTTAGAATGAACAATCAAGCTTAAAGGTGTTCATGAAGTTGTTACAAACCAAAACATTAAAGTTTTTCACTTTTTGTTATACGTGCTCCACAACAAATCTTAGACGTTCCAGACGTTTTTAGTTGGAATATAAATACTCTCTTGACATAGAAACAAAATGGCTGACATCCACTGCTTAATTTTTCACTCAACTACACTCATTCACATTTATCTATTTTTATCATTCATTTTATAATAATTTACATATGAAGTCAAATTTTTCTGTCAATGAGACGTATATGTATGTAACATGATTTTGTTGTAATAATATAAATAACTATTGAAATGAAAACTTGAAAATTTGTATTCTACTATGCTTGTTTGAAATACTGTATTTTTATGAGATTTTAAGTATCCTTAAAACCATTTACTTCGTACCCTTTAAACCATTTACTTCAGGTAGTAAATTTTACTCAGTGATGTGAATTAACCTTTTGACCTCTAAACAAGGAAGTATTACTCATTATCTTTATGTATATTTACCTAGTAAGTTATTCATCAAATATTTCTTTTCTTTGTCATTGAAATGTATGAATGATGTTTATGAAAGCAAAAGGCGCACATTCAGTGATAAGTGGATCATCCTATGCAACGATATTAATGTCGAAAATACATTTGGAGGGAAGAATAAATTCAAACTATTAGTAAAATCTTTATGCATTTCATTTATTTATTTATCATCTAGTTAGTAAACCAATTAACTGTTGACACCAAAAAGGATAAAAAACCCAACTGAGTCTTACAAACGATAAACACAAGCCGTAGGTACAACTACCGTTGTTTATTAAGAATTGACATGGTTTAAACTTTTATAACATTAAAGTTAAATAAACTTCTATTTCAAAATATTTACATTGGCTATACTCCATATTTGCAATCAGGTATTAGGAAAATTGATGTTTACATGTACATGGAGATAAACAAGTATGATTTATTTTAACTTTTTTTCATGTAGTGCACTGCAAGGTGTAGATAATATTAAGGTTGGAACGCAGACACAAGAGTATCAGGAGATATAAGTAAAACATATATTATTATTAGCTAATTAATCATTGTTACGTTGATTCGGTATAAATTTCATATATATCACACTGTTTTACAAAAGATTAAGACATGTGTATGTTACAGTTTTACAGCTACATTTATTCACAAGTTATTAGAAATAATTGAAACTTGTTTACTTAAAATTTAAAGCTTCACGCCTTCAGATGAGCCAAATAATGTCAAGAAAGTCTACTTTGAGAAAGATTAACTAAGATTTTAAGAAAAGTATTAATATGTGCGATTCAAGTAATGTTTTTTTTATGTTATGTGAGATTAATGACTAATCTTAAAATATTTCAGTTCCCCAAATTAAATAGAATCCTGACAGAGGTTCTGAAGACGCTAAATTAGAGAATAGATGACAGCAGGCAACATATTTTAGGTAGATTTTACAATATATATATTAGGAATATATCGAGAAAACATAAAATAGATATACACAAAAGTACCTCAATTATAACAAGAATTCCTTTGAATGGCCCACCATTGAACATAAAATTGCCAATGTGACAATGAATAAAATAGAAAACAAATTGGCCGCTCAGCATCTCAAGTATGAGACTAATTGCAATAGCATTAATGAATTAATGAATGAGGGTCATCTTGATACTAGTCGCAAACAAGAAATCAATAAGTTGTACAACACCGACATGGTCTCAACATTTAAACATAAAAATATCTTTCTATGTAAATAAAACTATTGATTTGACTATTGTTTCATCACTAAGCAACCGTTGTTTATCAAGCAAACATTAATTTAAAGAGAAAGAAAGAATGCCCAAAACGGCAAAATTAAGAAAGGTTGCTAGGTTAGAATGGGCATGTTAAGCTACAGTCTCACTTACATCCCGGCAGAGCCCCAGCAGAGCCCCGGTAGACGTCCGGGGTGATCCGGGAACGACCGGGGAACAACCGGGGTACATCCGTAACTCTGCCGGCAACGTCCTGGACGATCCGGGATGATCCGGGAACATCCGGCGTTCGACCCCAGATGGAATAAAATATTTAATATCACCGGGGTGGTCCGGGATGATCCGGGAAGGTATAGCTTTGCCGGCTTCATCCTTAGCTCTGCCGGGAACGACCGGGGTTATACCGGGAAAGCACCGTAGCTCTGCCGGCACAAACCGGGGATGATCCGGGGTATGATATAGCCGGTAGGCACAATATAATCTGCTTGGTCTCAAACAAGTTTGATTACTTATGCTGTGTACGAGCAACTGTGTTGAGTTTGGTTAATATTATGTTGAACAGTCAAGCTTAAAGGTTTTCATGAAGTTGTTACAAACCAAGTTAGCTCCTTTTCTTTTTGTTTTAATTTCTTATCATACGTGCTCCACAACAAATCTTAGACCGTCCAGACGTTTTTAGACGTTTTTAAATACTCTCTTGACATAGAAACAAAATGGCTGACATCCACTGCTCAATTTTTCACTCAACTACACTCATTCACATTTATCTATTTTTATCATTCATTTTATAATAATTTACATATGAAGTCAAATTGTTCTGTCAATGAGCGTATGTGTATGTAACATGATTTTGTTGTAATAATATAAATAACTATTGAAATGAAAACTTTAAAATTTGTATTCTACTATGCTTGTTTGAAATACTGTATTTTTATGAGATTTTAAGTATCCTTAAAACAATTTACTTCGTACCCTTAAAACCATTTACTTCAGGTAGTAAATTTTACTCAGTGATGTGAATTAACTTTTGACCTCTAAACAAGGAAGTATTATGTATATTAACCCTGTAAGTTATTCATCAAATATTTCTCTTCTTTGTCATTGAAATGTATGAATGATTTTTATGAAAGCAAAAGGCGCACATTCAGTGATAAGTGGATCATCCTATGCAACAATATTAATGTAGAAAATACATTCGGAAGGAAGAATAAATTCAAAGTATTAGTAAAATCTTTATACATTTCATTTATTTATTTATCATCTAGTTAGTAAACCAATTAACTATTGATAATAAAAAGGATAAAAAACCCCAACTGAGTCTTACAAACGATAAACAGAAGGCATAGGTACAACTACCGTTGTTAATTAAGAAATGACATGGTTTAAACTTTTATAACATTAAAGTTAGATTAACTTCTATTTCAAAATATTTACATTGGCTATACTCCATATTTGCATTCAGGTATTTGGAAAATTGAAGTTTACATGTATATGGAGATATACAAGTATGATTTATTTTAACTTTTTTTTCATGTAGTACACTGCAAGATGTAGATAATATTAAGGTTGGAACGCGGACACAAGAGTATCAGGATATATAAGTAAAACATAGATTATTATTTAATTTAGCTGATTAATTATTGTTACGTTGATTCGGTATAAATTTCATATATATCACAATGTTATACAAAACTCTAAGACATGTCTACGTTACAGTTTTACATCTACATTTATTCATAAGTTATAAGAAATAATGCGAAACTTGTTAACTAAACATTTAATTAAAGCTTCACGCCTTCAGATGAGCCAAATAATTTCAAGAAAGTCTACTTTGAGAAAGATTAACTAAGATTTTAGGAAAAGTATTAATATGTGCGATTCAAGTAAAAGTTTTTTATGTTATGTGCGATTAATGACTAATCTTAAAATATTTCAGTTCCCTAAATTAAATAGAATTCTGACAGAGGTTCAGAAGACGCCCTGCGAAAAAGCTAAATTTGAGAATAGATGACAGCAGGCAACATATTTTAGGTAGATTTCACAATATATATTAGGAATATATCGGGAAAACATAAAATAGATATACACAAAAATCTGGAAGCAAAGTGATCCCTCGGAAGCATTAATCACAACAGAATTACAAGAGAATTGCAGACTCGGTTTGATTGAGTCTGTACATGAGGGATAATGAATACGTGCAACATCCCTCACGCCTCCTAGCACCGGCTTGAGCGGTACTCAATTCTCAACACTTAAGAGCGGTACTCAATTCTCAACACTTAATAGTGCTGGCATCAATGATCCCGAAGGACTAGAAAAATATAACAACACTGAAGTGAAGTACGGGGTAACTTTTTACAGCTGCCACACAGCACTTGACACCTGCTGTTGTGAAGTATAAAACTCTGGAAGCAAAGTGATCCCTCGGAAGCATTAATCACAACAGAATTACAAGAGAATTGCAAACTCGGTTTGATTGAGTCTGTACATGAGGGATAATGAATACGTGCAACATCCCTCACGCCCCCTAGCACCGGCTTGAGCGGTACTCAATTCTCAACACTTCAGAGCGGTACTCAATTCTCAACACTTAATAGTGCTGGCATCAATGATCCCGAAGGACCAGAAAAATATAACAACACTGAGTGAAGTACGGGGCATCTTTTTACAGCTGCCACACAGCAATTGACACCTGCTGTTGTGAAGTATAAAAATCTGGAAGCAAAGTGATCCCTCGGAAGCATTAATCACAACAGAATTACAAGAGAATTGCAGACTCGGTTTGATTGAGTCTGTACATGAGGGATAATGAATACGCGCAACATCCCTCACGCCCCCTAGCACCGGCTTGAGCCGTACTCAATTCTCAACACTTAAGAGCGGTACTCAATTCTCAACACTTAATAGTGCTGGCATCAATGATCCCGAAGGACCAGAAAAATATAACAACACTGAAGTGAAGTACGGGGCAACTTTTTACAGCTGCCACACAGCACTTGACACCTGCTGTTGTGAAGTATAAAAATCTGGAAGCAAAGTGATCCCTCGGAAGCATTAATCACAACAGAATTACAAGAGAATTGCAGACTCGGTTTGAGGGATAATGAATACGTGCAACATCCCTCACGCCCCCTAGCACCGGCTTGAGCGGTACTCAATTCTCAACACTTAATAGTGCTGGCATCAATGATCCCGAAGGACCAGAAAAATATAACAACACTGAAATGAAGTACGGGGCAACTTTTTACAGCTGCCACGGAGCACTTGACACCTGCTGTTGTGAAGTATAAAAATCTGGAAGCAAAGTGATCCCTCGGTTATAACAGTTATACCTCAGTTGTAACAAAAATTATTTTGAATGGCCCACCAATTAACATAAAATCGCCAATGTGACAATGAATAAAATAGAAAACAAATTGGTCACTCAGCATCTTAAGTATGAAACTGCCCACCAATTAACATAAAATCGCCAATGTGACAATGAATAAAATAGAAAACAAATTGGTCGCTCAGCATCTTAAGTATGAAACTAATTAGAAAGCATTTATGAATGAGGGTCTTGATACCAGTCGCAAACAAGAAATCAATAAGTTGTACAACACCGACATGGTCTCAACATTTAAACTTAAAAATATATTTCTATGTAAATAAAACTATTGATTTGACTATTGTTTCATCACTAAGCTGTCGTTGTTTATCAAGCAAACATTAATTTAAAGAGAAAGAAAGAACACCCAAAACGGCAAAATTAAGAAATGTTGCTAGGTTAGACTGGGCATGTTAATGGGCGATACTGGAAAATATAGGCTACCGTCCACGCCCGCCCTAGCATCAGTTTAAGCAGAATTAAAAATAATACATGAAATGGTAACATTTGGAATAAAAACAGCTGCCGGTGTGATCATATGACGGCTATAATTGAACCTTAAATGAGAAAAGTTAGTGCCAATCCTATCAATGGAATATTGCGTGTGGTTCCCATATAAAAGAATGAACTTGAATATAAATAACAATGTAGATTAGAAATTCGATGGTAAAACGATACATTATAGATATAATAATCAAATTTTTCCAAACTTGTCGTTGGCCAAAATTTGTACATACATAACTTTGGCAAGTTTCCATCATTATGTAATCTCCAAAATACGCTTAATAAAAGTCGGTTAACATTATAATCGAGTCAACAGACATCAATGGTTTCATGTAATTCATCAGCAATACATATACTCGAATCATTTGGAAAATTGTTCGAAAGTTCCAATCTAAGAAATATGAACTAAATTGTTTACTAAAACAAACAGAAATTGTCAATTGAATGATTTTTATTGATCACAAAATCGCAACCGATGAATTTCTGACAGCAAGTTATTTAAGAACTGAGAAATGGTAAGGCACATGATAATACCCATACATTTAAAAACATAATTGCTACGAAAAACGTACTTATTGTTTAAAACTGTTTCGGTTTATATATTTCTGTTTTGATGACAGGTGGATAACTGAGTCATAAAACAAACACTCAGCACTCGAGGAACATTGTTATATTTATTTGACTTAAGTAATATACGGTATCTTATATTAGTTCTAGACTCCTTTTAGCAACATTAGATAGAAAACATCGTCACTGCATAACTTGAGAATTTCAGTGAATATTGTATGGTTACAATAGATAAAGTTTCATCGTTCAGAACTAGAACTTTATATACTACAACGATGTCTTACCATATTTTTGTACTTCACAACAGCAGGTGTCAAGTGCTTTGTGGCAGCTGTAAAAAGTTGCCCCATACTTCACTTCAGTGTTGTTATATTTTTCTGGTCCTTCGGGATCATTTATGCCAGCACTTTTTAGTGTTGAGAATTGAGTACCGCTCAAGCCGGTGCTAGGTGGCGTGAGGGATGTTGCACTTTACATTATCCTTCATGTACAGACTCAATCAAACCGAATCTTCAGTTCTCTTGTTATTTTGTTGTGATTAAGGCTTCCGAGGGATCACTTTTGTTACCGGATTTTTATACTTCACAACAGCAGGTGTCAAGTGCTGTGTGGCAGCTGTAAAAAGTTGCCCCGTACTTCACTTCAGTGTTGTTATATTTGTCTGGTCCTTCGGGATCATTGATACCAGCATTATTAAGTGTTGAGAATTGAGTACCATTCAAGCCGGTGCTAGGGGGCGTGAGGGATGTTGCACTTTACATTATCCCTCATGTACAGACTCAATTAAACCGAGTCTGCAGTTCTCTTGTCATTTTGTTGTGATTAATGCTTCCGAGGGATAACTTTTGTTACCGGATTTTTAATCTGACTTACACACTTCATTCAGTAAACAGTTGCCATTGAAATATAAAAGAAAAGTCATCAAGAATTGTAATACAAAGATTTATCAGGAGGTTTGATATTTTGGCCAATTTATGTATTATTCATATCCCAATACAGTAATTTGAATTCATTTGAATACTACTTTTAGTCTTATATGTTATTTTGTTGTGATTAATGCTTCCAAGGGATCACTTTGTTTACAGAATTTTATATAGATCGAGTCAAGACTGTGTTTGCTATATGAATGCAAAGGTGTTTCAATGTTTCTGGGTAATGACTCAAAGAAAGTTAGGGATAGCTCAGATGTTTTGTTCTTGTCAAAGGGAATGTATTATTAGTATTATATTCTTTATCTAAAATGAGGTCTGCCTTCCTTAGATTTGGTATCTGCTATCATATTGCCGCCAAAACTATTGATTTTGGTAAATGTTGGGTACATGTATATATAAAAGGAGACACTGTATGTAACTACAAATGCCGGAGGAGAAAAAAATATGGTTAAGAGTTAACCTTAACAAAGGTTTTGAAAATCGAACAAAATAATATTTACACTGGATCATGTTGAATAGGACAGCCGTAATTTTTTGTCTCCTCCAGCCTACGCCTACACCTTTCTTTTTATGTCATGCGTGTACCCGACATACTTGTATATTTTAAGACACGATATGTTTTGTTAACATGGACAATATGGTTCTTAGTTATATGTGTCACACTTCGATACCGGTAATAATTTCGTATTGGCTAAAGATAACGATAACATTACGTAAACAACTCATAATCAACTTTCAGGTAATACTTATCACAAGGGCTGGGAACCCAATATACATGTAAGCTATGACAAATTGTAATTTTAAAGGTATTTGTAAATACATCAAGATTGATAAAATATAATATATCTCGGATCTAGCAGCACATTTAGGTAAATAAAGTTGATTTATGTAAATAAAATTGATCTTTAATACACCAGTGGATACAATTGTTTTACTTGCTAACATATCTTAATTTTCTGATTTAACGGGCTTAATCTAATTTTGCCAATGCTTTCTGCTTGGTTTTCAAAAATTTAATTACTAATGCTGTGTACAAGAAACCGTGTTGAGTTTGATAAATAATTGTTTAACAATCAATCAAAAGGGTTTAACTGAAGTTTTTACAAACAAAATTTATGTAGCTGTTACTTCCTTACGATTTATGCCCAACATCAAAAAGCGTAGACTGTTCAGATCTTTTTAAGTTGGAATATGAATAGTCTCTTGAGATCGAAACAAAAGGCGGACATCCGCTGCTTAGTATTGTACTTGTCAGTCATTCACATCTTTTTTATTATTATTCATTTTAGAATAATTTACTCATGACAAATCAAATTGTTTTTTTCTTTGTGTAATGACAATAAACATAATTAAGCTAAATAAAATGCTATTTAACATCTCCGTGAGCAGAAACGAAATAAATTGACTCTAGAAAAGTAAATTGCTTCATACGAAACAAATATAGAATACATTCATCAATGAATCTAATGTGTATGCAACATGATTTTGTTGTAATAATATTAATAACTGTTTAAAGGAAAGCTTGAAAAGAAAATTGTTTTCCACTATGTTTTTATTATAATTAATGTGAGATTTTAAGTGTACTATATTTTACCTTTTCACCTCTAAACAAGGAAGTATTACTCATCATATATAAGTGTATTAACCTGGTTAAGTTATTCATCAAATATTTCTTTTTTGTCATTGAAATGTATGACTGATTTTTATGAAAGCAAAAGGCGCACATTTAGTGATTGCAACGATATTAACATCGACAAATACATTGAGAAATGTATTAAACTTTGCTTCGGAGGCAGAATAAATTCAAACTATCAGTAAAATCTTAAAGTTTATAAATTTCATTTATTTATCCATAATCTAGTTAGTAAACAAATAAATTACGGACACTTAAAAGGATAAAATACAACTGATTCATACAAAAGACATATAAGATAAAAACAAGCCATAGGTACATGTACAACTACCGCTGTTTATTTAGAGATAACATAGGTTAAACTTTTATAACATTTGAATATTAAATAAACTTCTATTTTGAAATATTTACATTGGCTTTACTTCCATTTTTGGATTCAAGTATTTGAGGTATATGTTTACATGTATAAGGAGATGTACTAGATGTATTTTAACTTTATTCAGGTGCACTGCAAGGTGTAGACTATATTAAGGTGTGATGGCGGACACAAGAGTATCAGGAGATATAAGTAAATCATATATTATAATTAGATTATTAATTATAGTTAAGTTGATTCGATATAAAATTCATATATATATATCACAATGTAATACAAGAGTTAATGACCTGGACATGTCTATGTTACATTTTACATCCATGTTTATTCACAAGTTATTAAAAATAATACGAAACTTGTTAAGTATTAAAGCTTCATGCCTTCAGATGAGCCAAATAATTTCAATAAAATCTTTTTTTGAGAAACATGTACTAAGATATTTTAGAAAAGTAAAAATATGCGCAATTCAAGTAATTGTTTACATGTTATATGCGATTAATACCTTTACATGTTATGTGCAATTTATGACTAATTTTAAAATATTTATCATGCAAGACTATGCAGCAAGGGCTATTTTTAATATTTTGCTCTTGAATTGGTTATTTACGTGGATAGAAGGTGGCGTTTGCAATTTGTAAATAGTATTCTTCTTTATCTGCAAATATTTTTTACTTTTAAGTGCATTGTCAAAAGTTTCATAATAAAATTAGCATGAATCTCGAGGCATGCTGCTCTAAAATGATGATAAGGTATTATTTGATGGCTATGACTTCCATCGTTAGGAAGTTAACTGAGAAAATAGCCAATATAGTTTGTCAAGATGTATGAGTTTCCGAACTTTTCTTTGTCTTATATCATGGCATTATTTCTATATTTATGATATATTTTAATCAATGCATTTCGTTACACAAATCAGTATAATTTATACTTTAACATGTTTGTATGTGTACATATCCATGATTTATATATTTCATACCAGGTGTTGATGTGATGATAAAGCATTTTGATTGCAAACATACGGGTTTCTTATCAAAAGAGGGGACAGGAATACTAAGCTGGAGCAAATGTAAGACTAACAATATAATTCCTTGTCTCTCATATATTACCATATAAGGCAATTTAGAATTCAATTACTTTTTGACAAATTATCATAGAAATGAAATATAGAATCATTTACTTTAATATGCGTGATAAATATGGTATAATAACCAAATTGTTAACTGTGAACAACTCCAACTCCCGAACATGACACACATTATACTTATTTTCTTTCATTTAATATCATCTTTTGATTGGATATCTAATTTTCCATACCATATAAAATTATATTGCGTAAACGTATATAATTAATTATGTAATCAGAGTATCTCTTATGTTTTTAATGGCACATTGACAGCTAAAGAACATGTTATTAAGATATCTTAACACTGAAAGGGTAATAGCAAAAATTATTTAAAATCAAACTTCACTGTGTTTGACAGGGATTTTGAAATATTTCATCATCTCAAGAGGAGCAAAAGAAGGCTGTGTATGGAACTTACATTGCTTTGATAATGATTTGTCAAGTAAGCAAAGTTGGTCGATATCGATGCGAGAAGTAGAAAGGTAACAAATTAAAGTCAATGGCTTATGTACCATTTTTTTATTATTTTCATATCACATGGCGTTAATTTAAATATACTTATTTTTTATTTATTTAGGAAATCAGAGAGTTTGAAACGATAAAACATATTTGACAGTCACATGCTATTTTTTGATTAGGTAATTGATGGATGGCAGTCGTTATTAAAGTCAACGCCTCTAAAGCACGACTTTATAATACATAACAGTTTTTTTATAAATGCTTGATTGCTCACTTGAAACTGATACGGACTTGTATATGTAATAAATTATATGCAAGACAGAGCTTGTAATCTACCATATCCAATATATTTTTTATGTGACAATAAGATTACCTTTTAAACCAAATATCTATGCGCTTCGTTATTAAGATATGAGAAGAAAGATTAAATTAAGTTAAAAACAAAAGTCAATATATACCGGGGTTGGTTCTAAATTGTCTAGATTTGAGAAAGCTTAATTGAAGGTTTATTACTTTGATGGTTGGGTATTTAGTCACACAGTCACACTGGTACTGTTACGGCCATATGACGATTGTAGTTGTTTATACATTGTTTGATGTATGAACGGATATCTGGGCAGAACCGCAGACTAGCTTCACGGGGATATTTAATGATCAATGCTTTACTTAATTCTGGACGCGGTGATTGTTAAGACGCACAAGTTTTTATAGACACAATGTTGCACACTATATCTATTCTTTCTATTTTGGTTTGGAAGAACAACATTTAAAAAGTTTCCCCTAGCTATGACTTTTAAAACGCATATATGTTTTCTCCCATAGACACAATCAAACCAAGTCTGATTTTTCACCAAGTCGATGTTTCATTGTTTCCAAGGACTGTGTGATTATTTGTATATTTAGCCATGTAGAACATATATTTACTATTTATTATATTCCGTATTCAACAACGTCGGAATATCTCGTTTTTTCCGTATTTCATAGATACAGTTTTATGATTCAGGTATTTTATGTTTAACAATATATTTACATTCATTTCATATCATGTTAAATTTCTGCTATTGGCTAATAATATTTTTTAGCATCCTGGAATACAACAAGGGCATAGTGGGGATAAGAATAATATTCATTGATCACAAGACACCGGAGCTGATACTAAAATGTGATACTGCAAAGAATAGAGAGGTACGGTATGTTCTGCAGGAAGTTATCTGTTTTGTGCGTTTCTATCTCTATATATATAGCTTCGGTGTTTTAACTTGATTTTTTTTAATAAATACAATGTATTATAAATGTTCGTTACATCTGACATTCTTTTGTAACTACCAGAATATCGTTGCTTTGAAGGATGATGTTAAAATACAATTTCTAGGTGCCATTACGTAGACACTTTGAAAGTTTTGTATATGCTAGGTATAAACTACGAGGGATGTTCAAATATGAATGCAACTAGGCCAATATCTCGTTTTTATCCACATTTTGCACAAACCATAAACATGTTTCGCATAGATGGTTGTGTTAGCTTTCAATTGATACAATACATGTGTAAATCAGTTCAGTCTAGCTTTGACAAATAGCTCGATTAACACTATCTACACGTGTATGCTTAAACTAAAATGGTTGGAAAAGGTCTCCTTTCAATAACCAAATACGGTCATATATCAAGAACCGCTGTTTTCTTGGTAGACAGGCGAAATGTTTGAAAAAGTAAAGAATTTGATTGCTACTGATGCAAGATTAACAACAATGTATATAGCTAAATGCTGTGGCATCTCTTTAAAAGCCACCCATATTATTCTCAAACGTAATTTAAAAATGAGGACGATATGTGCCATCTCCTTACAAAAGTGCACAGACTTGGTCGGGCAAGAATCTCCAAAAAATTGTTGAAATAGTTCTTTAAATACATCAACAGATCTTTCGCAAATGTCATAACTGGTAATGAGACGTGGGTTCATAAAAGTTCACTTTTATGAGCCCATAACAAGATAGGGACAACCAAATGTCAAAGACCTTGCATAGCAAAACGCACCATGAGCGTCAAAAGGGTCAAATATGTAATTTCCTTTACCAATCAAGGTTGCCGTACCAAAGGGTACATCTGTTAATGCCAAGTTTAACAAAAGCAAGACCCTTCATAAATGAAAGAATTTTTCCAAACCCGTCGAACATCAAGTGGTATCTGTGGTGCATGACAATGCTTTGTCACACAAAGCGTCTATTGTACGAGAATATCTGAAACAGGTAAAGGTTATCGAGCTTCCTCCCCTCGTCATTCACCAGATCTTTCCCCTTGTGACTTTTTCCTATTTTCGAGGCGCAAAAGAAACATCTGGTTGGAGAAAATATTAAGCGTGACTAAATCTCGATTCGGCTATTTTCCAGTGTCTGAACAGTATACATCAAAAAGATTAAGAAAACGCATTTACAAATTGGATTAGAATACTAAAACTTTGTATATCACATGGTGATGAGTATTTCGAAGTATTGAAATAATTAATTTGGCACTGTTTGTTAAGCACTTCTGAAAATTGATCCAGTTGCATTCATATTTGAACACCCGTCGTATAATGTATTTCAGAGATAATGGAGGACCTTTAACTCTTTTCTTCATTTTCCAGATGTTTGTATACTAGTATTCAAGATGTATGGACCATTTAGAATAACGCTAAATGTTCGACCAATGATTTTAATTAGTTATATGAATGTGTATGTTGAAATTGTTAATGACCAACTCCTTTTGATATGAAAAAGATATTTGTAGACATTTGCATTTGCTTGTTTGCTGACTTGTTAGATTTATAATCACACAAATCAATGTCATACGGAGACAATCTAGCTTAACTGATTGAGGAAGATCCTGGTGTCCCTTCGTGCATGAGCGGGTACTATAACTATTGACCTTTCGCAAAGTAGATGGGTAACTCATTCACATGAAATACTACAAAGTTGGTATTCAAATCAGTAGTGTTGAGGGGCAAGTGATTTTAAGTATTTGCAAAATGTGGTTGACAGAAGTTAAATAAAACATTTCGATTCCAAAATAAGTTAAAAATACAGTACATCTAATTGTTTGTCGGTGATATACCCTAAACATATGATATGAATAATTTAAAGTGTGTAGGGCACTAGAAAGAGAAACGATGTCTGAAATACTCCTTGTAGTGCAAATAGTTTCTTTGGGCCATTACATATTTTTCTTTGTATAAATGAAGATATGGTTGGAGATGTTTAAAGAGGCCCATGCAGAAAGTCAGCCATTATCTACGTAGGTATTTTTTATATTGCAAAATCTAGTAAATAAATTTAAGTGTTTTGTATTTTAAAATGAACCTTTATCCGACTTGTTCGGATATGACAAATCAATTGTTTAGTTGATCTCCATGTTCGAAGAACCCTTTAACTAGTTTAGTTAATATATATTTATATGCAATGTTTTCTTGTAACCTCAATGACATCTTCTTTGTATATTGAAGCAGAATTATGGCGTTAATGTTTAAAAAAATAATAATAAAGATGACATTTATAGATTGATGTACAAGTATATGCAGGAATACATTTTTTCTTGAACTTTTCTTTAGAGTTATTTTAACACCATAGGAGAATGTCTTTTTTTCATTGTTTAGAAATCAATTTATATCTTTACACAGCGACAGTGGCTTCGGAAGCGGCGGCTCCATCCCGAGCAGTAAGTTTCGGATTGCACAATAATTATAATAAACGCATAAAGGATTTATCTATTAAATTAGATTCATTAGTTTTTTTTTTTTCCCCCCTGGGTTTAAAATGGCTTTTTTTTTCCCCCCCTCCAATAAAATTGGGGTAACTTAGAAAAAACCAAATGATCAGCCAAACGTGTACATCATTAATTCAACCAATAATGAAAGTTACAGACAGTACATACAATATATAGCTTCATAAACTTTAGGAAAATATCTGTAAATTGTATATGCATTATAATAAATGGTTGTTTTTAACAAATTGTTTTTACTTTTTTCAGGGAATTCAAGACGTTTTGATAATCAAAGAGATAGTGAATACATGTATTCTAGAGTAAGGGAAATTTATGATGAAATTAAAGGTAAAGATACACATTTCGTTATTTGATGGCAAATTACAATTTTAAAATAAAATATGAAAAAAATGGAGCATTGAAATGTTGACATTTTTAGTTGTTGTTTATAGAATTTTAATAGAAAAAAGATATCAATGCAAGATAATGATTATTCTTAGTGGTTTCCCATAATGAACATTGCATTCAGTGTCAAATAGTTAGGAGCAATAACTAAATTAAAACGTCTTTCAGGTAACTTGAAGGAATCAGAACGAGCATGTACAATGAAATTAGATGACTTTAAGTATTCTTTTGTTAAGAGAACTAACAAAGTTAATTAGTTTTCCAAACATAACACATATATAAAAATACATAGCATTTATTAATCTTTAGTTTTACCATTAAACTGCATCAGTCCTTTTGCGTAACGGTATACGCGTTGTCGAATCGCTCTGTTGTGATGTATATATGTTGTATGTTACGACAATAAAATGTAAAAGTTGACCAGAGCTCAGTAAATTTTTTGTTTATGTGTCTGCTAAATATGAATGATTTTGCTGGCAAAAATTTGTAATTCGTATAAAATGTTTTATAGTAAAAAATAAAATAGTATATGAACTTTACGGACAACTGTCGTATTTATCACGGAATGTACTCAATCGGCAACAAAATTATCCACACAGCTATGCTTCCATAGTTAATGCAACAGTATAATAATTTTTAGTGGAATTATTATATATTTCAATGTTTCACCTGCTAAACACTTATATAATTTCCATGACAATTGCTATTATTGCTTTAGGTATTCCTCATACCTTAATCTTCAGTAATTTGAGGTATTGTGCGGAACAAACTGTCATGAAAGAAACATAATATAATGATGTCATATGTTGCAGTTCGGATTAGAATATCCGTCCAGAAGGTACCCATCGGGCTTGCCATGTTTCCGCCAAAGGGGTGGTGTGTACGCGTCCCCAAGATGAGGTTACAGTCGCGTGCTGTACAACAGCGTCCTTTTTGCTCATTTTTAATTATTTAAGCGCATTCTATCACAGAACTGCGATGAAATGACGTCATTTTGGTGCATTTAAGAATGAAACTTTGTGCTTAGGTCCGTTATGATGTCAAGTCATACGCTATTGTACGGGAAAAGTTTCGGGTGAAATGGCCTTAATTTCCATGAAAAAATATTTAATTCAGGTAAACCGTTTAAATATGATATGATATGGTAGAATATAGAATGCGAATGCGGTTCAGGAAAGAACCCTTTGAGTAGGATCCCTTTGGGAACCAGTCTATGGGTAACACGGCAAGCCAGTTTACCGGCAAAAGGGCGGGTACTCTCAGAACGGACATTCGATCCGAACCGCAACAAATGGTCTCCAGATGAGCCGAAGCATTTAAAGAAAAACGAACTAAGATTGTAAAGTGAATTGGTCTGTAATGAAAGGTCCGTAATACAACAAAAACGTATTTAACAGTTTTTTTAGTATCAAACGTTGCAACACAACACGAAAGAAAGAAATATGGATGTTGTTTGCAGGTGTGAGATAAATAATCTAATACTTCACACAAGCACATATATAGTAGATAATCTATAAATAATAAGATGTTCTAGAACAAAAAACTATCATTAATCATTTAAATGTTCATACAAAATCACTCAGAACTTTATTTTCGAAGAAAAAGTTTATTAAACTCTCCAAATGACCATTTCTATAAAAATTTTTAGCAATATTTGAAATAGTTATGAAAAACGTGCCTATTGTCAACACCTACTCTGCCGTATATTAACCTCTTAGTGATTTACCACATCATATATGAATAGATTGTTTGTGGCGCATCAAATATGTAATTAAAGTAAAGTTATTAGAAATATACTATTTTTTTATTTGCTTTTGAAGGTGTTACCTTTAGTAAATGTGTGTTGCTAGAAATATTGTAGGCAATTGAATTTTCAAAAGTTTGAACAATGTTCTAGGTATTCGTCCTTTTAAATCAACTCGAACGTAAATCTTTAAAATTTTAATCCTAGGTAAAGATGATGTCTTGCGCAGACCTGCAGTAAAATCTGTAACTGAGAAGTTAACGATGAGTAAAAATCGAAACAAAGTGATAATTGACAACGGCAAAGGTAATTTGTAAATATGTTCTTTTCTCTAGCGCGAAATTATAAAATATATTATATATTGAAACAAAAGTAACAGCTTACATAGAACAATACTTAAACACCGAAATAATAATGTGATGAAAATGATCGGTCCATTTAATTATATATGATTTTTGTTCTGTTGGTACAAATATTGTTTGTGCATGGCACTGACAAAAATTGCTGGACAGAATCTCTATTAATTCATTTACTCCTCTATTGGAACAGATATGCCTGATCTAGTAACGAATGAAACTTTTTTGAAATACGGAGATGGCCTACGGGTATTTGGAACGAAAGGTAAGAATTCATATATTAAACACAAATTTAAAGGGACTTACAAAAAAGCATTGGAGACGGTGTAATTATGATAGTTTTCTAATAACCATATTGATTCACATGCTGGAAACATTCCTTACATAATATTTGTATTTGCCTTATGTGTAACATTTTACTAAAAGTCGTGACTAGCAAACAATTGTCAATTACCAGAACATATTGTAAAGAAAAACCGTTGCTTTATGTACCAAGATGAATTATTCTTATCAGAAATTAACAATACTATAAAACATAATGAACCTTGAGAACTACAAATGCAACATATTTATATTTAAAAGATTCATTTACAGAAACGATTTTATCGATATTTATTGTTGCAAAATGTCAAAACTTTCTCTCACTTAGGAGGCTTATTTCAGTTTTTTTATTTACAAATGTAATTTCTGAGTTCAGATTACAAAGTGAGTGCAAAGGTTGAAGACACAGCTGTCACTGATGAATGTAACAAAAGTACAGATATACCATGCTTGAAAGAAAGTCTCCAATCTCCAATTCAAGAAACCAAATGTAAGATACACAATGTCATGCTTGTGTCTGATTCATACATTAATATGCAATTTCCAGAAATGATGTTTTCGGTGGCCGCTTTAAAGTGATTTAAAGAAAACAACCAACATATAAAAATAGCACCGAATTAGTAATTCATATTTTGTACATTCATAAAACAAAAAAATACAAATTAAGAAATTGAAACAGTAAACACTTGTAATTTGTTAATCCTAAATAAGAGTTAAATAAGTCCATCGAATTCCAAGAATTGTATGTTCTAAGGTGCACATCAGAGACTTTTATTCATGTCACACAAATGTTCATTATTAAAGAATAATGTTCATTTGATAGCTTTAATTTATTACTTTAGCAGGCAACAGACGCTGTGAAACACAACTGACAACCACAGTACATAGCAAACATAAAACAAACCCTGCTGAGACAATTGTTCAAGCACACCCAGCTCTGTTGACAAGTCCCTTTAGGTCTGATGATTACGAAAACTTTGAACTAGGTAAGACAAATGCTGCTTTGTTGAAGAAGTTTGTTTTTTCTATCAAAATTGATTTCTCTGATTTCTTACATTTTAAAGGTATATTATATATCTCATTGCTTGCATATCGTTAACCGAAAATTGGGTGTTCAGTTACGTTTTTATAGCTTTATTGTTCTATTCTAAACAGTTTATCAAACGGAATTTGCGTTTTTCTGATTGATTCGCGTTTCTATGACTTAGTCCTTTGCTGAAAACCCCGAGAATTCCATGCTTAGTAATGATTATAAGGACAATATTAAACAAGTCTTAACATAATAGTAATAATCAACATTGAAAATTTCTCAAGAAAATATTAAAATTTAAATTGATTGTTCTATAATGGGCGCATTTCCATATGTATATTGTTATAAAATATATCCTAAGAAAAAATGTGAATAAAGCTTTAAGTGATTTTGACATTTATGTGATGAACATTATTATTTTGTCTTAGGACAATTCATTTATTATCTGCTATATCTGGATATTTTATATCTAATCATGTAACACCCACTTACCAACAACATTCATATTCAAATGTAAATTTCTTTTGTGGTTTGATATCTAATTTTATCAGCTAAGTTAAACCTTCTGTTATGAGCTATTATGAAAGGTTATAGAAATCCAAAATGCAATTATGTTTTTTTTAATTGTCAAACTGCTTTGAGGAAAAAAACATGTTTCGAAGTAAATCATTTTTGTACTTTTTTTTTAATTTGCATCATAACATTTCACAAATTATCATAATTCTTTCATGTCCATTCTACAAAAAGAATACAATATACACTATTTTCATTAACATTTTTATCTCTGATCAATACAAGCTCAAAAAAACCAAGAACTTCAGTTAAAACGGACCTTTATAAACCTCTTTCAACATCTTTCTAGGTCAAGATGAGAATACCCGTCCGAAAGTTATTGATGATAATACAGAATTTGAATATACAATGACAGACAGAGATTCATCAGCATTCATGAGTGTTGCAGGTTGCTCAGATTCTTTTGTTTCAGTAGGACAAAGTAAACTTGATTCAGATTCACATTTTATAGGAACATCTGAAGGCGACAAAAAGTCAGATCATGTTATGATAAAAGAGAATACATTCAAATCATTACAGGTGGACAAAGCTCCTGAAAATGAAGGACATATACCAAAACATTCATCTTTACCTCATAATCAGGAATATTACCCTCCAGGTCCTTTATCTGAATATAGCAAAGCAGATCGAGTTCCGCCGTTTTCTGTACAAGGAATCAAATATCAAGGTGCAGATTCATCGAATGATATTTGTAACAAACACGACGAGGAAATTTCGTCAGTGTTACCCACGGACAGTGGTGATGTAAATTTTCGTCAGGCGTCTACGTCTCATTCACAACAAACAAAATCCGAAGTTACTACGGAAACAGAAAATACACCTCAAAGCTTAGAGCCCGGGTCAAATATAGAGGATGAGAATTATACATATGAAAACATCACGTTTTTCGAAAACAAAGAGCAAAATAAAGTCTCTGTTAATGAAAACGAAACAAAAAGAGGCAGTAACAGCAGTACAAATAGTACATCTAGTTCAGGTAGTAGTACGGATAGTGTCACGTATGAAAGCCCAGACGAGGGTGCACATGATGAAAAAAAGATGGTAAGTCAGATAAAATATATGTGAAACAATATGAAACATTGTCATCATGACCATGCTTTGGGCTTTGTATATATCTCTTACACATACAATAATTTAATTATCTTACATTTTCCTAATATTTAAAAACCTTACAATAACTACAAAATACTAAAATTAATATTTATATTTAGATAATATTTTAAAATCTAAAACCAGACAACAAAAAATAATTTCATATTACAGGTCTTTCGAGAAGAAGAATATTATTGCGAACGCCCGAAAGACATTAAAAGGTATTGATTGTATCCTGATATGCCTAGTACATATCCGGTATTCTATTAATATATTTAGCATTTTGTCAACCAAAGGCAAGTTATTTTGTAATAAAATATATCAATAGTTTAAATTGCAATTATATTTTATCGCTAGCAATCTGTCGTTAGGAGAGATTCTTCTAGATCATAGTGAGTTTTCAAACGCGGTTTAATGTGGTCTGTTCATGACAGAGAGTGGAAGGTGCACATAGCATCAGATTAATCAGAAGGTATTCTTCACCGCAATGATAAATTAGTAACCACGTACACAATTATTTACGACTATGTACTATTTCGTTAGCGCATGTTGAGACACACTCATTTCATATAATAGTAGTGTATTTTTGTTGTTCCTTTTTCAGAAATCTTCAAAACAATCCTCCTGGGACATTTCTTATTTGCAATATCAGATCCGAGCAGGTATGTTATAAAGGGATACTCAGGCAAATTATGACAAAAATATTTAAATTATCTTATGAACTCAAATCATGCTAAAATGACATTTTTTAATATCCCAGGATGAATTTCTGTATATAATGTTATATATTTTGGATTTGGAGCGTAAATATATCTATATATGTTGAACGAAATTAGAAGTCGACATAAACACCGAGTAGTTTTAAAACAGGTAATGTCATTTGAAAAAAAAACTGGAAGTTACAATAGCATATATTGTGGATATTTTATGATTGAAACAAGTTTAATTCATTCATTTTACGTTTAACGTTTCATTTAACGTTTCCAAAGTTCACTGTGGCAACTATTGTAAAATCTCAACGCTCTAACCTGACGGGGTTAGAAAACCACCATGTAATACTTTGTAATGAGAAAAGATTTGTTGCTGTGACTCCCTAGAATATTCATTATGAGGACATTTATAGAATTATAATGAATAAAGAAATCAAAACGAAGAATTGAAAATTTTTCCTATGTCTCCCTTTGTTAGTTTAGTTAAGTTTTAATTTATTCAAATTTATTTTAAATCGATTGTGTTTGAAGCTATAAGCTTATTTAAGCACTCTCGAATCCGTCTCTTGAATCAACCAGTACTCAAATGAATGTAAAGTTAGTTTCTTGCTCAAGGAAACAACGGCTTGCCCCTGACAGGGTTTGAACCCACAGGGTCAGCAATTCTTAGATTAATAGTCCGACGCATTAACCACTCGGCCACGCCGCAACTCCTTTAAAGGAAGTAATAGATATTTGCACTTGTCATTTACTTTCTCTGTTGTGTTTGTTTTAAAGTCGTTTTGACTTTGATACTTGACGAGTAAAACGATGTTTGCAAGTGTTAGGATGATGAAATACCTTTGTTTTTAATAATTAGTAGCGGTTGTTGTGCAGTAAGAACAACTCAATTTACACAATCTGTGTAATATTTTCAATACATTTCATTTAACTTTCTTATGAGATTTGATAACTGCTCGTTTATGCACAATATCACAAATGATTGTTGTGGACTGACACTAAAGAGACATTTTCCAAGAACCCCCTTATAGTATAAAAATCTTCAAGAGGTGCGTTATGGTCGTTCAATGTTTTATATTGAGTGAACAGGTGACATATTTGCCGTAATTCCTTTCAATTTTATAATTGACTAAGCATTAACGATCAGTGACTCAAAGGGCTTCTGTGTAAATACCCATCGTAATTAACCTGGTACCTTCAATTATAAAAAGAAAGAGGGGATCTATACATATTTCAGGCAGATCTTTATTTTATCCATAACAATTTCTAATATAAACTGTTGGTTATCAACATTTTGTCGCCAGTCAATCTATTTAAATATAGAGCTACACAATGAAAAAATGAGAAGAATATCACTTCAATTCATAGTCTATGTTAAGAAATATAACTTATTGCTGTATAACATGAATTTTGTTAACAAACATATTTATTTAAAAATTTGGTCATATCTTTGGGTAAAATTTTCAATTACATTTGTAGGCTACAGCCTTTAATATTTAATAAATCTAACCTGTTTCTTTTATGATTCATACGTTTTTCAAAATTAAATATTTCAAACATATGCAGGTGTTGTGCCTGGTCACCGATAAAGGCATCAAGCGTTTCATCATTCATCGACAAGTAAGTCAATTCTAGTGTTTGGTCTAAATTGTAAAATTGTTAATAAACTTTAAAGGAAATTCAGTATCAGGTTTGTCTATTACTTTATGTAGTACGTGTTTATCAGAATGAATGTGTTTATTGGCATTCACTTGTATTTTTTATCAAGTAACATCCAAATACACGTGTCATTATATAATTTTCCTTTAAAATTCCATTACCTTTGAATTAATTGCACTAACAATATCAATCAGGTTATTTAAAATAATTGCTATTCATAAACTTAAAAGGCTGCATAAAAATGTCGATGCATCCTCTGTAAAAGCTTGTAGAAGATTTAAAGACCGGAAGAGGGAAGATTATGAATGTTATAGCACATGATGCAATAACATTTATCTACAGCTTTTAAAACATTATTATTACCATTAACATCAATTTAGGAAATTATTTAGAATTAACTGCATAATAACACAAACAAATCAAAATTCATAAGAAAGCACAAGTTCTTTATTATCTGTTATGTTGAAGTTTATGTCCCACTTTAAGTTACATGGTGAAGCCATTTAAAATACATTAGAAACAAATATATCTTTTGAAAATTCTTCTTTTTTCAGGGGGAGAAACTATCGCTTTTCAAAGACTTTTCCTTTCCAGAATACACCTTTCCCGATCTGAATAAATTACTCAGGTATTACCATATGTACGAATTGCCCTCTAAAAACTTTAAAGTGAGACTTGAACGAGCATACAAATCTGACAAAGAAGATTAAATGAATAAAAAGAAACTATAAAGTCAACTTATCGGATAATAATACCTAATACTTGTAAAGACAAACGATATACGATACACATGTGTGCTAACTGAGTATATGCTCTGAATCTGAAAACGATACAGGTTGAGAGATATTTATTTCTTTAAGTTACAGATACTAAATGGAAAACTTGTACATAATTATGAATTTAAAAAAAAGCTTTATTAAGATGTATAATGTGTTAATAAATGAAAATTGAAGCAAATACAGTCTAAAGCTTAAAACGGATAACAAATCTCGCTACAGTACTAAATGGATTCATACATTTAACTGCAGCGCTAAATGCATTCATAAATTGATTCAACGAACAGTATTAGATTTATGAAGTATATGGAGTTATAAAATAATGACTTATTACAAATAATGATGAACGTTTTTATTTGACAACAACAACAACAAAGACAATAGACAATAGAAGCTCCACGTTTCTTTAAAAGGTTGTTATGTGTATCAAGACCTTGACAAAAAGATAAAACAGTTCCGGTAAGAAAATGATGGCATACCATTTGCAAAAAAAGAGATACACTGGACTATTCTCACCCTTTTGTCAAGCTCACGACAATCACTTTTTTATTAATGTTTTCACCTTATTTGTGAATAATTATGTAACATATTATATAAATGGTTAAATGTGGCTCATTAAAATACCTGCATTGTGATTTAATGAAATATAGCTATTTACTTGATTGATGGTCTTTTTAAATCATTACATCATCAAATTAATGTCCTGTTTCTTATATTTACTATATAAACGCACTGCCCGTTTTTTGTGTCAATGTGTTAATAACGGTAGAAGTTAAATGAAAAGCAGTTAGCTACGATTTGAATTTTGAGCAGATAATGAATGGTGTGCATTTTAACGTTGAAAATATCATATCAAAAAATCGAATTGAAAGTATTATCAGATAGCTCACATAATATCATATTTACAATAGGTTGCTACAAAGTTGCATGTAATGGTTTTTTTTTAATTTAACTTCCAAATAAGGCAACATGCTAAAAAGCAGGAATAATTATTTTTTGAAAGCCTGCAAAAGTATTAACTTTATTTTGGTGATGGATTTATTGGTTACAAATTGTAAGAAAAAGTCATACATATCAAAGCATAAAAAGCTTTTAAACGTCAGTTTAAAGTCCTCATATTTTAAGATATGATACTAGATGATAACGACCCTTATGGACTCTTGCCGTTGAATAGCATGTAAAATTGATTTGCTGGGCACTAACAATACTAAAGCACGGAAGCGGGAAGTGACGGAAGCACGGAAGCATTTATAAATCAAAGGGCTGCAAGCTCTGTGGTATTTTCTGATCTTTGCAATCTAAATCATACTGACTATCTGTATGTATTTTCCTATATAAGTTTATTTTTATATACTATAATTCATCTAACGCAGCGACTGCGTTAAGATTTTTTTCTATAACAGTTTGAGATTGATACATATGGAATTTTGCATGACTAGAGTTGCATCAAAAATCATTTTTTATGACAGCCACACTTTATCCTTGCATATTGTGGCTACTTCGTTAAAAAAGACACTTCAAAGAAAAAGTTGCCTCGACTAGGATTTGAACCTTAGGCCTCTCACACCCTAAACGAGCGCGATACGAGCGCGATACCCCTGCACCATGGTGAAGTAATACGTAATACGTAGCCTGAATAAAAACAAATACATTGTAATTCTAAATTGAGAATTTCCATTTTGTGTTTGTAATCCTTATCAATTTCGAGGTATTTTGTTCACGATAAACATGTTTAACACTGATAAAAATAATTTAGCGAAAATTATGGAACGCCATAGCTGCCTCATGTTTTTACATTTCTTTTTATCGTGCCAAGAAAGCGTCTTATCATGTCAAATGTAAGCGTTGTAATGCCATTGTTATTTGTCGACTTGTCTAAACATTGCCTTATTATGCGTAACAGTAGTCTTATCTCTTTAAAATATAATGTTGACTTGTGTTAACATTGTTTAATTATTTCAAACAGTAGTGTTATCATGCCAAAATGTCGTTTTGGCTTGTCTGAAATGTGTCATATTATGTCAACTAGTCGCGCTATTTGGTCAAATTGGGGAGCTGTTTTGTCAAAAGACTGTCAGATCATTTGAAACAGTAGTGTTCTCTTGTCAAAATTTGGTGTTGACTTGTAAAAGCACAGCTTTATTTTATCAAAATGCCACGTTATTTTGTCAAAATACGGTGTTTAAATGCCTTAACAGTGTCTTATTGTGTCAAACAACTGTGTTAATTTGCCAACGTACACTACTGAATTGTCTTTTTATATCAAATATTCGAATTATCTTGCCGAAATGAGGTGTTGAGTGGGTTACAACATGTCTTATTATGATAAAATGTATGCTATTTTTTCAAAAAGCGGTTTTGACTGGTTAAAACTCAGTCACATAATGTCAAAAAATTGCGGTATCTTGTCGAAAGGTGGTAATGACTTGTCTAAACTCTTTCTTATAATGTAAGACAGAAGTGTTATATTGTCGAAATTTGATGTTTTCTTGTAAAACACAGAAACAGTCTTATTATGTCTAATAATTGTGTAAATTGGTTCAAATTTAGTTCTGTCTTGTGAAAGCGCTGTCTGATTTTGCTTAACTGTCCCGTTATCTTTTTTGCTCTATCTTTTCACGCTCCGCGTGGGCTCTGGTCACGTGATACTAAATTTGGACAACATCGCATCTGGACAGGATAACACGATTATCTGACATAATGAGACGGTATTTAGAAAAGTTAATGTAATAAATTGGCAAGTCAGCACCACTGTATTACATAATGATACTGTGTGATACAAGTAAACAGCACATTTGAAAAGGAAAAATGATCCTTCGCCATAAAAGGACGATGTTTAGTAAAATTAACACCTAACCTTGACAAAATAAAATTACACTTTGACAAAAAGATAGTAATTTTAGACCAGCCATTACCACGTTTCGACAAGATGATATGACTATTTGACATAATAAGACGATTTTAGACAAGTTGAATCTGCATTAGGACATAACAGCATGACAGTTTGACAAATTAAGATAGCGTTTTAACAGTTCATAACCATAATTTGTAAAGATACCACCATTATTTCACATAATAAGACGGTGTTTAGGCCGGTTAAAATAAAGTTTGGATAAAATAGCATGGCGATCTGAGAAAATAAGGCAGTGTTTAGACATGTCAATACCATTATTCGACAAGTCAACAATACTGTTTGACATAATAAAATAACGTTTACAAACAAAATTTATGGCAAGTCAAAACATTAGTATTTCACATAATAAGTATATTTTTTTAGACAGGATAACAAACAGTTTTAGACAAGAAAGCATGATGTTTTGGCACAATAAGACAGAATTAAACCACCTCATACAAAAGCAACATAACAGTTTGACAAAAACAGGCAGCACTCAGTCAGGTCAATATAACGTTGACAAGATACAGTACTAGCCGACATAATAAGACATGAGTTTGACAAGTTGACACCAAGTTCCGACAAGATAACACTACTGTTTCACATAATAAGACAATTTCTAGACAAATTACCACCACAGTTGGACAATACTGCATGCTATTTTGACATAAAAGACATTCGTTAAGCAAGATAACACCGAATTTGAACACAATGACATGGCAGTCTGACAAAATGTGACGGTGTTTAGACATGTCAATGCCACATTTGGACAAGAACAAACGACAGTATAACATAATACAACAGTGTCATAACATACCAGGGTCACATTTGGATAAGATGACACCAACTTCCGACAAGATAACACTACTGTTTCACATGATAAGACAATTTCAAGACAATTCAACAGCACATTTAAACAAGTCTGTGTTCAGAAATATTGAAATCTTAATTCGAAAAGATGGCGTACATGTTAGACATATTAAGCTTCCATTCGGCATGTTAACACCGAATTTGCACATGATAACATGACGTTTTAAAATAATAAGACCGTGTTTAGACAAGCCAGCACTACGTTTGGACAAGTTAAAATGAATATTTGACCTAATAAGACTTCGTTAAGAATTGTTCTCATAAAACGTTGGCAAGCCAACACTTCTATTATACATAATAAGACGCTTTTAGGGAAAAATAAAATGAAATGTAACAACATGAGGCAGCTATGGCGTTCCATAGAAAATCTTCTCGCCAAAACAGTCCGACATGTATATATTCCACTACTCGGCAGTCAGATTTATTTGTGTACTACGCCCTGGAGTATTCAGTAATCGACATATCTAAAAATAGCATTTTCATTGATTAAAATGATATTCATCCGCGAAATTTGTGATTGTAACCTCATATTTCTATTGACTAATCTGAACTTTCAATGCACTGTAATTCGTTAAATGCCTACATTAAAAATTATTCTGTCTTTTAAATTGCTGGTTTTTAATCAGTTTCGAGTGAGAACTACTTTGCGTTGTTAGGTTGTTAGGAAATTTTGTGTTAGACCGTGGATGTTAGCTATGTATTTACTGATCTTGCGATCAGAAAATACAAAAACAACTTTCATTACTTCATCAGTGTACCACAACTGATACACTTTCATTATTTAGAACTAAACATTTACTTATTAAGACATTGCCAAAAAGCAAATTTCTTTAGTTAGTATTAAAAGAAATATTTCATAAGCCATTATGCTAAAACCACAATTTCTTTGAAGGAAATAGAAATACTTATATTCAATCCTTTATAATAAAGTAAAAAGATTTGTCTGCGCTATTTTTACCCTGCAGCCTGATGGTGAACTTTGCGGAACCCTTTTAGGGCCATTCACAATGTCACCATCGCGTTTGCATGAATGACACACCACAACAGTGACAAAGCGACCTTATGAAGTGACACCGACGGCGAAAATCTCAAACGACAGTGTCTCGATATCCACTTTAAAATGTCACCAATAGAAACACGATGTATCGCGATGTATATTCGCATTGTTGAGTGTCGTATAGCATTGTTGTTTTGTCACTACATATTGTCGCGATGTCACTTCCACCTGCCGCGTGTACACACTGCAAATGCGACTGAGACATTATCAAACAACACGCGATAATCTTAAACGACGCTCAACAATGCGAAGCGACATTGTCGTATTGTATATAGCGTGTCACGGTTTTGTCTGAGGGTTGACACACCACAATTTCTATGTATTATATATGCTGCAGATTCATCTATCTTACCCATTACTTCATAGAGAGGTCTTTGCACGCCTTTTCACCACTCCCCCTTTGAGGTCTCAAATAGTGAAAACAATGCTCTATTTAGACATCAAACAGTTGTTTTTGTTTGAGAGATGTTGTTAAAAGTAATAATCACTTTTTCGGCGCCGACCCCTATCAAAAAGATACATCAGGGGGTACAAAAGGGGAAATGTGCCTCCCTTCTGCTTAGGGGTTTAAAGGGGCAGAAGGCAAGAAAATTATGTACTTGTGAGAGACTAAAACGGTCTCATGTCGATCTTAAGGTAATGTGTAACCGGCGCCGAAATGCCTTTGACTTTATCTCAATCCATTGAGAAGTTGCAACACGTTGAAATCAGTTTTGATAGATAAACATCAACGCAAAATAGTAATTTTTGGCACTTTTGAGATGTCTCCTCATTGCCATGGTTAAAGAAAATTTTGCCAAATTTGATCAATATTGAAGCATTTTTCATAGCAATTTGAACTTGTTACAGGAAACAGCTATTTTCCAATCATTGATGGGT